GCAAATTTTGTCACTCTGAAGTATATACAGTGTGTTAGCATTAAATGGATTTTATGCTTTTTTTCATGAACTAATAACATTCAAAGATTAGATGTGAGAAATACCTTTCTCATTTAAGAAGGAAGGAATCCATGGTAGATTGCAGAATTAATCCAAAGGAAAATTAAAATAAAGCATTTTCCCCACTACAGTTATTTTCAATTTTATGAGAAGTAAAAGGCTGTTCATGAATGGCTTTTTTCCAGGCAAAATGTTGGAAAAATGTGCTGTGAATAAAGAAGGTTTTTGAATATGCAAAGGTCTCCATTTGAGGATGTCATTTTAAGACATGCTGGCTTTGATGGCAGAAATTCCTACCCCTCCCATTACTTATTCCCACTCCTGTGTCAGGGCTCACTGTTTCATTACTAGCAACCATTAGTGCAGTCTGGCAAGCAGTTCTGTCAGCCCAGCTGCAGGAAGAGAAGAGGGAGCTGTGCTGCAAGAGCAGCATCTTTATTCCCAAAATCAACATCTAGTGACACCAGGAAGACTGCAGGTGCATGTGCTTTATGCACAGTCTGTGTACCTTAAGTCTACAATTTATACAGTATTTAAAGATCTCCAAATTTAAGTATTACCTGTACACTGTGACTTACATTTTTTTGCTAGCAGACTTTTTCGTGGAAAAAAGTGGCAACCATAGTAACTGTTCTGAGTGCTCATCTGTGTTCTCAGTGGTACATAAAGTGCTGTGTGGCTGGAAAAAATCCCCTGTGCTGGAACTGTCAGTGATTGCATTTTGAACCTGAGTGGGAGTACTATCTGGAAACAACACAAATAACATGTTCTGGAAGTACTCCTTACAACAACCAGGACACCCACTGTTGTGGGTGTAACAATTCTCAGCACTGGCACTAACCATTTTTATACTGTGTTATTATGTGATAGTATATGAATGACTCCTCAACAATACTGACTAAAAAACTTACAGACATCATTGTCCCATGGTTAAAACAAAGCCCTGACTGCAGTTTTGCTTGCCTCTAAACCATATTTTAGGAAAACAAAATATGGCAGTCCTCCACTAATCAGGCATCAAAGTCCATGACCAAATTCGGAGCAGTAGCTGGCAGTGCAGCTTCAGCATTCATCATCGAGTTAACTACAGTTGTCAGAAATGTCCTCTGAAGTCTGACGCTTGCTCTGGTGGTGCCAATTGCACTGCTGCTTAAAGTTACTCTTCTGCAGTGGTCCTTGTCACAGGATCTCTAGCTCCGTGAAGGAGACTGTGTCATCGTTACATTTTTGGTTGTACTCAAGTGAGATCTGGAGGGTAATTATGAATGGAATGCAGATGATGATCACCTCATTTCTGTACTCTCTGACTGCTCAGCTATAACAAAAGCTGTCAACGTGCCAGGGATGAGTTGAAGAACTCACTTGGATCTTGTACAGAGTCTGGGAGCTCAGTTGCAATCATCTGTTGGCCAAGTGTGTTAGGATTTTAGTGGGAGTTAAAATGCCTCTACTATGTAGAAATCACTTTGTCTTGTGCTTAATCTAGCAGTCCTGCAAAGTGTCCTCAAACCACTGTCAGGGACAACAATGAGTTGTTTTTGTTGACACTTGAGGACACTGGGAGCTTCCTGTTTGTTCTTGTGTTGTCTGTATGGTTTCTTATAAATTGCAATAAACTGCAAGATTGTTGGTAATCAGCTTACCTTGTCAGATCAGTCCCACTAGGCTTTTTTTGGTGTCACTTCTCCAGCTAATGGCTGTGCTGTTGAGGAACACCAAACTTGCACAAGTCTTCAAGCAGTGTTGTTACCATGGAATAGTTTTGCAAGCTTTGACTCTGTCAGACAATCTGATTTTGTCCAGACTTTTTTACTAGCTTTGTAAGCTTAAAAAATCACAAGCAGAAACTATCCCAGGAAGGACAGTATCTGCAGTGTTTTTCAAAACACTCATGGCAGGAAAATGCATGAGTGGCAACAGTTTTGTTTATAAACAGGGACTTTGTCATGGGACTAATGTTAAGACTTAGTCCCAAACAAAATGGGGTTGCATATAAGTGTGAAGATCAGAGCCGCCAGACTGCTGTCCATAACTTTCCAGCATGTACTCCAAATCTTTACAGACAAAAGGTAAACGTGCAGGTGTAAGGCAACACCAGAGCTTATTGTTACTTGGCTCTTTGTTTACAAACCATTGCTGTAAAAGATCTACAGGTCTTATTCTGCCTCTTGGGCAGTGAATCAGTGACCAGCCTCAAACAGTATTCGCACAAGTCTCCTGAGGAGTCTTTCCCTTTTACAATAGGGGAACCCTTCTGATTAACTTGTTTGCCAGCACCTATGGTGCAAAATGTCAGATGTTTGTTTTTTTTTTTTAGCCTTGCTGCCAGATGCCTTCTCTTGCTGTGGAACACAGGCTTCCCCTGTGTCATTTGTCATCCCTGATTCCCAGGATGAGTTTCAAGATTAGAAGAGACAAGGCCAAGATTATTCTGGTAGCTTTCTGTTGGCTAGGTGCAATTCTATCTCTCAGCTGTATAACTTTTTCCCAGAGTTCAACCAAATCGTGGTTGAAAGATTGGGACTCATTGTACCATCTGACCGGATGAACACCTCAGGCAAGGAGTTCTCCCTACCACCATGGAAATCAAAAAACTGTGTGGGAAAACAGTTTTCAAAACAACAGGTTCTTCAAAGTGGTAAAGACTTTAAGGACAAACCAGAAGCCTAAATACAGCTGTCTTACTGGTGTCTCAAACTAATCAACCTCCTGTCGAGCTCTGAGGTCTAATTCACAGTGATTTCTGTTTCCATCTCTGTGCTGTTGCTTTTTTTTTTTTAACTCACCTGCTCCTCCCCACAGTATCAAGTTTCTTAGGAATACCACAGCTTGCATGCTTCAGTCATGTACCAGTGTCTTGGTATAACATTCTGACTTACATTAAACAGAGCTCCTTGCACTTAATAACCACGTCAACTTGGGGAGAATAATATCTTAATGACTGTGTCATGCCAGTTTAACAACACGAGATTCACAACACATGTGAAAAGTACATTTTTGCAGTACAAGTGAAAATGAAATGATCTGTGTGATGGAGCAAGATAATTCTTATTTTAAAGAAGGAAAAAGTACTTAAACAATATCTTCTCATGTTGGACTGTTTAATAATTTTTTGTTAGTTTGTGGCCTGGTAGCATAAGCCAAAATAATTACATGGTTAAAATTCCAACAGAGTAAAAACTCTCTCTAGGAAACTGAAGGAGTTAAAAAAAACCCACCAACCTTTAAATAATGAAAAAACACAGTTCCCTAAAAAACATAGTTCTGCAACATACTTTGTGTGAGTAGCCCTTACAAAATTAACAATACATACCCATCTTGACAGTAGAACATTAAAGTTGATTTAAGTGGTGTTTTGCTTTGTTTCTGGAGGCCAGTGGTCTTGAATAATCCAGTGAGGAATTTCACATATCTCTCAGGTGATCTGTCTGTGCCAGGGACTGAGTGTACAAGAAGCAGATGGATGTTACAGCATCAAGTCACGCATGTGGCTCTGCTTGCTAGACTGCTGGGTGGCAAGTGAAGATGTAGAGCTTCTTCAGTCATTATAGGTGGAATTAGTTGCCAGCTGTATGTAACTGCTTTGCCAGGTTGTCCTTGCTATATATATTCATAGCCTTACAAAATCTCATGTATGGTTTTATAACCGATCTCTTAACGTGTTGGTTGTGATTTTTTTTTTTTCCCCAATGCAGCATGATAAACCAGGGCTGCTGAGCATGGCAAATGCAGGACCTGGTACTAATGGCTCTCAGTTCTTTATTACAACTGTGCCTACTTCTCACCTGGATGGGAAACATGTGGTGTTTGGCCAAGTGATTAAAGGAATGGGTGTAGTTAAAATATTAGAAAACGTTGAAGTAAAAGGAGAAAGTCCTGCTAAGGTAAGCAAAATCCAAAGCACTTAGGCATGATGTTTATTCTTCCATTACATGATGTTTATTCATTTCTTCTAAATGCTCGGTGTAATGTTTAGAACTATTAAATGTTAACCAGTTATTTTTACTAACAGTGTTAATTTCCATTTTACTGTCCTTGTTAAGAGGCTTTTGTTCTTTTGCTGTAAATTTCCCTTGCACAAACAATTGATGGATTCAACACAGCTGTGAGGGTGGAAGCCTTTATCAGGGTGGAGGTGGAAATGCACAGCTAGACGTGTAGGATGGGTGAGAAAATGAAAAGGTGGAATTCACAACCCCACCTAAGGGTGTGAAATTCTTACGAATTTTATGTCAGAAGTCATGTTTCTGGAAAAGCAGTTGGTGTGTAGGTCATGTCAGTTTGTGGTTCTTGGAAAAATTAATACCCAACTTGAAGGTACTTGACAGTTTGAGAAAGAACTGTCTTCTCTAATGTAGTAGAACTTCCATGTCTTGTGTTTTGCTGCAGCTCAGCTTGTTGCCAGTTCCTCTTCCAGCCTCTCCATGGAGCGTGGGTATGGTGTTCTTGGAATGCTGCTCCTCTGAAGGCAACACTTTCTGTGATAAAAGCCTTTTGATGAGGATAGGCTAATGATGTGATGGGTTTCTGAAATCAACGCACCCAAACAACAGATGAAAAAGCATTTTTACTGAATTTCAAAAAGCAGTCAGAAGTTACAGCTTTTTGAGGGGAAATTGTCTTAAGCAATACTGCTATTTACACTTTATTTTTTCAGTTGTGCATCATTGCAGAATGTGGAGAGCTAAAGGAAGGAGATGACTGGGGAATTGTTCCCCAGGATGGATCTGGAGATGCTCACCCAGATTTTCCTGAAGATTCAGATATAGACTTGAAAGATGTAAGTATTTTTATTTTAAGATATTTTACAGAATGCAAGACTTGTAGGTAGTCTGAGTTACATGGTATTTGTGATGATGTTTGCTAAGCCTTTTTTTATGAAGAATCGATCAAGGTACTGATTAAATGGTGACATTCAATTTTAGGAAAGAGAATGCTGTGGGAAGGGACTGCTATCTCTTTTTCAGTGCTCATTTTTTCCCTAGTAACTAAAACCACAATTACTTACAATCATTACACTTATTTTTTTTTCTGTTCTTTGTTTCTTTTTACTTTACTTGTGCTGTAGTGACAAATTGCATTTACTAGAACTCCATCTTGTAGATGACTACCTTAATGTTGTACCTGCACACTTCTGTGCAACTTTTAAAATATCCACCCTTAAAAAGATTTAGTCTCACTTACTAGAAATAATAAAAGATCAACCTTTTAAAAAGATTTTTACTGCATCAGAGCTAGTGGTTCTTAATTCCCAGTAGTTGTTTGCTTTTCCAGCTGTTCAAAATGAAGGAAGACCTGTTGTTGAGAGTTAGGGAGCAGACTGGTGGAAACAGCTCTTCTGCAGGTTTTTACTTTATCATGAAAGTGAAATAGACTAACTGTGTAAATCAAATGGTGTTTTGTGAGAGGGGAAAAAAAGGAGGCTGCACATGTAGATTCCAAATACAGAATGAGAAATAGTATAGTAAGAAACCATTACAGCTAGAAACCAGAAGCTCCTTGTATCTGGCTATTGAAAAGCACTTCAACTTGTGAAAATGTTTTTGGATAGCATTTGCTGTGGTTCAGAACTGAAGTTGGCAGGTGCCTGCCTCCTTTAACTTTAAACTTGTTCATATAAACCAACTACAGAAACCATGGTGACATTGGTCTCAAGCTGTGATCGGGTTTTTTCAAGGTCACTAATTCTAGTAGGCTAGAAGTGTAAACTGATAATGTTACAAATGGCAATATATACATTTGACAGAGCTTAAGACAACTGTGGTATAGACAGCAGTAATTATTAACTGTTCATTGCCACTGGAAAAGTAACTGAACGCTGGAAATGTATGCCATTCTGGAAATAGAAATGATGGATTTGATAAAGACAAGCAGCTGTTATTTTTCTCCTTACATAGAGGTTTTAAGCATTTTGAGAGAAGGAGAATTGTGTTGATAGGGCTTCTAGTTTGAGAGTGTGCAGAGTTCAGGTGATTAATACTGTTTCAAGAAGCAGAAGACAATTTTCTTGGGAATAAGGCAGTCTTGGTTGAATACTCTGATTGCTAACATGTCGTCTTTTCTATGAATAATGGTCAACACCTTTATATATAGCTCTGTGTGGGTAGCAGCATTTAGGGGAAGGAGTTGAAAAGCTATGCTGTCTCTGGTATTTTGTCACCCTTTATACTGTAGAAAACCCATTAGGAATTTCATCTTTGACTATTGTGTTCCATAAAGTAAAGAATATTACAGGAGTGGTTTGAAGGTAGTATTATTTGTCTAAGATGGGAATATTTTTATTCTGAGATTTTATAATAAACTTTGAAACAGAATGGACATGGGATCCTAATGTTAAACATCAAGTAATTCTACAGTTCTTTCATAAGTACATTCTTACTTTGTACTTTCCATCTATTTTATTAGGTTGACAAGATTGTGGCCATAGCAGAAGACATAAAGAATATAGGAAATACTTCCTTCAAATCGCAAAATTGGGCAGTGGCAGCTAAAAAGTATAGTAAAAGTTTACGGTAAGGCTCTCATCATTCAATCAGGTAGTTCCTGTAACCCAAACTAATACTGCTATCAAGCAAGGGTACGTGCATTTAAAAAGTTCCTGTTGCTGTGCTCTTTTTTTTAAAAAAAAAAATAAAATTATTTTTAAAAAGAGCCTTCTGAATCTGGAAAACATCTGGTTGATTTTTAGCTACTTATTCAAGTACGTCTTCTACTCATTAGCTCCTAGCTAAGTAAGAGCTATAGGCAGGAAGTATTGTTTAGAACAGACTGAATGCTCCTTTTTAATACTCTTGCTGTGCTGGTGCATAACTGGGAGGAAAAGCACAGCAGTATACACAGGGTAGTTAATGGACAGGAAAGGAGGGAGATACTTTTTCTCTAATTTCTGAAAAACAGTAGGTTTAGGATATTGGCAAGTTCAAGAGAGAGTACCTTCAAATATGACCTTTATTAATTCATTATTATTATTTTTTCTGAGGTTCCATACCATCATCCTGACTCCATGTATAATTCAGACTTGCCTTCAAAACCATAGTCTTTCTGCTTTTGTTTCCATACTGCTCCTTTCATCTTTTCATGCTTTTTGCTTGATGTATATGAACTTCTCCTAAAGACTTTTTTTTTTAAGTTATACTGACCTTTATCCCTGCCTTCTTAATGATCACTGGCTAACTAGCAGTAACAATACTGAAAGAAAAAGAATTCAGGCATATTTAATGCTTCAGCTGAGGTTTTTAACTGACTAGGTTTCAAACAAATGATGTCTTTCTGAAGCATAAAAATGAATCGCTCAATTACAGATACTAACCTATGATGTAACGTCTCCCCCTGCCCTCAAAAAGCCCATCACAGACCAACATAGTATAATTATGCCATCCCTTACAGTTAGTTATCTTACTCACTCTTAAGCAGACCCAATGAGGCTGCTCCAGTTTGAGTAGACAGCTTTTATCTGGTGCTTATTTGTCCTTGTGGATGGAAAGGATCGTAACTTTTCTGGACTAAACAAATCTGATAACTCCAGCTTGTCTTTCGTGGACATTCCCTGTTGTTGTGTCTTAAAATCTAATACTTTACACAGGATGGTGTACTTTAGCTGACACTTAGCCAGAGCTGATAGGAATAAAATAGCTCTTATAATCTCCCATATTTTATGTATATCTCCCATATATTATTTTACAACTCACCTAGCAAACCAATAGCTCTTATAATCTCCCATATTTTATGTACAACTCACCTAGCAAACAGTCTGGCAATGCTGTATTTTTCTTTTTACCAACAGTAACCGTCATAACCTTCCATTCTTTTTCTTGTCTTACTGCTGCTTAACCATAAATAAATAAATAAATAAATAAATAAATATGTATGAATTGACACTTTTTTGTCAAAAAATGTATTACTTCCTGTTGTCTCACTTGATATTCATCTTACTGATTTCTCTGACTTGGAAGCTCTGATTTTGTTTCCAGAATGATTTAGTGTGATTTATAAATACTGTGTTACCTGTTTGTTTTGAACATAACAGTTTTGTATTATAACTCTCCTTATCTTTTTACCCTTTTCTCTCTCTTCTGGTTCTTACAGTTTTGCAGGATCACTGGAGCTATGTCTAATTCACTTTAAAATTATTGCTTATTTCTGTTGCATGCTTAAAATGTGTGAATGTATGCAAACACATGACCTTTATTTTTTTTAAATAAAAACAACAGAAGTTCTATCAAGTGGGCCGTTAAAAGAGTTAGGACTTTCATATCCACAACAGACCTTTGCCACTTGAAATAAAAAACCTGACAGCATTAGCACATTGTAAATTAAGAAGAATGAGATACAGTTTACCCGTCAATTTGCCTGTGAAATAGAGATGCAGTAAATGATGCAGCTTAGTCCTAAACCAGTGTCAGTTTTCAAGTTCAGGAAAAAAAGTCATGAAGGAAGACAGTGGGAAGAAGGTGGAATTAATGCTCATAAAACACTCTCCTTTACAAAGTAAAGTTAGCTTCAGCTTTTAGCTATAAATGCCTAAAGTAATTAACATATTGGTGAGGGAACTGAAGAAGAGATGAAGGTTCTCATGAATGGAAGGTGCAGTGGTGGTGTTGACTTTGCCACTGATGAGCAACATGTTTTTTTAGAATAAACAGTCACTGAGATAAATTCTAATGGTTTCATGCCATCTAGAATAGTCTAAGAAAAAGAATGCTGTTTGTTAGTACAGTGGAGGGATAGGAGTAACAGGAAAACACTCACCAAGATCCATCTTTTTTGTCAGAGTAGGTCTTATATATTTAGTTTGATAAATATTTTTAATAGTGGAATTGAAGCTGCTTTAAATAAGTATCAATTTGGAGAGGCCAGTTTGCATATATCTGTGGAAAGATAGCTAAGGGCAGAACAAAATGGGAGCTGCAATGCTAATACATGTTCTTTGTAAATCTCTTTTTCTGCAGGTATGTAGAAGCTTCTGAAGCAGTGGCAGAGGAGGCAGACAAACCAAAGTTAAAGACTGTTGCTTTGACCTGTGTTTTAAACATTGGAGCTTGTAAACTAAAACTGTCAGATTGGCAGGGAGCCATTGAAAGTTGTTCAGAGGTAAATTTAATGTTTACTATTTTGATTCACAATTGACCTATATAAAAAAATGGAGACTGAAACTACAAAGCTTTAAGAGTCTTCTGACAAGCTTATGATTTGAAAGTTAAAGTAGAAGGCTGATAGTGAAGTTATTACTTTACAGTACCTGGCTTTTTAAAGATCTTGAAATCGAAATAACTCATTAGAAACAAAGGAGAGGGCTGTTGCTTGCTGCCAGAAAACCCACCCACTGTCATTGTTAGTTTTGTTTCCTAAGAGCAGAGATAAGTTTTGTATTACAGAGTTAAACTGTCTTCGTTGAAAGAGGAGTACTTTTCTCTGGAAGACTAGCATGAGGAAAATGTTTTACTTGCTTTCAGATTTGATGGTCTTGTATTTTATTCATTGAAGTGACTTCTCTAAAGCCCTTTCAGGTAGACTTAGTGGTGAAATTAAAACAGTGAATAGGAAGAAGGACAGAAGGAAACAATAAATATGGAAATACTGAAAAATAATAAATTAAAGAAATAAAAGGAACAGTGACATAGACATACTGAGAGCATTTAGTACATTTGAGGAAACTTTCAGTAAAACTCTGAAATTTTGAAGGAAACAGAGTAAAGAATGCCCTTATCTGTTAGCAGAGGATCCTAAGCAGCAACTTCCAGGGCTTCAAGCTGAAAGCAGGAGTCTCAGCTAATCTGTGTGTGAGGCATCTTTAAAGAGCTGGCTTGCTTTCTAGCCCGCTGATGGCGTTACACATGAAAACTGTCATAAACGTATCTTCAGAATGGAAGAATGGGCAATGGGAAAAGGAAAAAAAAATAAGAAAACTGTCTAACATGATATCTGTCATCTAGGAAATGGTAAAAATTGAAACTGCATTTAGATGTTACAGATAGAAATTATTAATCATAATACTTTCCACTGAGGGGGAAAAAACCCCAATAATAGCAATTTTTTTTTTAAAAATTACAAAACTGTTAGATAAAGGCAACTCCACAGCTCTAATAGACTTCTGTAATGTGTTTAGCTTACGCTTCATCACAGGTATTTAACAGCGTATCCGTGTTTAATCAGAAGACCAGTTCCCTAAGATTAACTAGTAGGGTTGAAAGTAATTGTTAAACTTTTATGATTTCCTAAGGCCAAAACCGTTTTAAATTAACAGTCTGTAATACATGCATTATTTGGTGTAAACAAGGAACTACAAACTGCTGAAACTGTTCAAATCAACCTTGCTTTAAAATAGCTGTAAGCACAATGGTTGAGCTAAAAACAAGGAGTGCTACCTATGTGTACACAATACAGACAACACATTTTCTAATTCTTGGCACAGAAGAGGCTGTAGTCTTTAGAGCACAGGGATCAGGATGAGCACCCAGAGTAATAATTCTTATATGATCAGCCAATACTGAAGTGATTTAAAAAACTCTGGGTGCATTGTCTAATGTCTGTAATTCTTAATTAATGAATTAAAGTTAACCAATGAAATTAATAAAGCCACACATTCATGCAAAGATATTTCCTCTAATCACTAAGAAACTATATTCTTTTAAATAATAAAAAGACACACTATAGAACTATCTGCAATAAGAAAAAAGAATGCAATCTTCACAAGCAAGAAAACAAAATACTTAGCTAGCCAAATGAACTGAGGTACTTTGAAAAAATAATTTAAGTAATCAAACAGTAGAACAATCTCTTTGCCTAGCCACTGTATTTTTTATTTTGATACTGTCATATTAGAGTGGGTATATACACATTAGTGAAACCATTCAGCTTCAGAAAGGTGTAATGACTGAACTTGGCAAGGTTCCTGAAGCATGAGATGGATTGCTTTCATGTATCTTTCTAGTCTATAGTGAAAAAGCCTTTACAGGAAATCTGTGTGCCTTCTTCATCATGCCATTTAAGGTTTTTTTCATGTGAAGGAAGGAGCTACAATATAGAGTCTTGTACTGAGAGACTCAAAGTTAGGAAAATTTGCACTGCAGCAACAGCTTTGCCTTGAAAGAGATAGGCAGACAGATATATATATATATATATTATCTATCTATCTATATATATAAAATATATATGTTCCATTTTATCTTCATATACATGCTTGTCCTTCAAAAAAGGTATTAAAACTGATTTATTCAGTGTGCTATAATATACCATTCCTTTTTACACAGTTAGTGTTTTGACAGCTTACCCTCAAACCAACTTGGGATATTGTCTGCTGGTGCAAACTGTGCCATTTGCAGAGATGGGAGCCTGTGAAGTATATGAAATATTAATGTGACAATTTTATTAAATTTACAGGCTCTTAAAATAGATCCAGCAAATACTAAAGCTCTCTACAGACGGGCTCAAGGATGGCAGGGAATAAAAGATCTCGATCAGGCATTGGTAATCATCACAATATTTATTTTTTTTTTTTTTTAATCTAAACATTTAATCAGAAAATTAATTTCTGTTTCTCTTTAACTTAAGGCTGATCTTAAAAAGGCTCATGAAATAGCCCCTGAAGACAAAGGTAAAATAAAGCTGTTTCTTTATAGTTTCTTTATTTTAAGAATGTAACAAAGTAACCAGGGTACTATTTAGTAAGAAATCTTACCAGTGTGATGCCCAAAATGTTGTCTTCTAACAGCTTAAATGCTGATGTATTGAGCGCAGAGCCCACTGAGGTGGAAAACCTGGTTTTAAACAGCAGTCATGTTTCTGGTATGCTGGGTAACCTGCTGATGTAGGTCAACAGCATGACTCTCAAACCACCTCCCTCTCTCACAGGGGCCTTACTAACTTTCTTAATCTCCTGGTCCAACTGGATAAGATTTTTAGCTTGTAAATGCTGTGTTGGCACCAGTACTATGCTCGCTACACCCTCCTCTACCTGGTTACTCTGCCAGGTTAAACAGAGTAAGGGACAATGTTTTTTTGCTGCTAGTGTCTGACCTAATAGAAGATTAAATGTGGTTCTATTATACAAAATGATATAGGTTATTTACAGCAGTGTGACCTAATGTAAAGAGATTACTGTAACTGTATCATGGATTTTCTTTTTAAGCAGCTATCCAGACAGAAACACTCAAAATCAAACAGAAGATAAAAGCCCAAAAGGAAAAAGAGAAGGCAGCTTATGCTAAAATGTTTGCTTGATTTTTTTCTTTAAAATCTATGCACTAACTCATGCAAAAGGATAAATGGAGCTGCTTCTTTCATTTGCCCTGTACTGCAGTTTTCAGTGTTTACAACTCAAAAGTCTAATAATAAAGACAAACTGTTCAATGGTGAAGTGTGTTGCTTTTTTTTTAAGCTGCAATAACTTGTGTTTTGCAACTCAGGTGTGTTTCTAATGTGTAAATCAGTAGTGGTTTAATAGTTACTGCTTCCCAAGAAGCTTGGTTTAACAGTAGGACAATTTAGGCAGTTTTTGTTAAGAGTTTTTATTAGAGCAGGCATGATTCCTTGTAAGAAACAAAAATGCTGGTAGGCATACAATGAAGGTGCAAGTATTACACTTTTTTTAAAACCACTTTACAGGTTATATTGGAGATGGGCTCCCTATTATCACCAGGAAAAAAAAAAATCTAACTGTAAATTTGATGTAAAATGTGTAACACTTAGAAACACTGACAGTTTCCTAGACTGATATATTTTCCCTGCTGCACGGCAGGATTACGTATAGTAAATCACTCCAGATACAGAGAGAAAATACTTTTTTAAGTGTAGGTACTAATTCTTCTGGATATGGCTTCTGTTATCACTGAACTTCACCAATAAATCCAGTTCCTGTGTCAGTCCTGAGAAGAACTTTCTTCTGCCTGCCACACAACTCCTGAAAAGAAGTTTTATTTAAATAAGGCTAGGGTGTAACCAGAAGGCACCCACTTTCTATTTAATGCAACAGTCATATGTAAAATTCAGAATGGCACATTAGCTTCAAACTCTTTAACATTCAAGTCAGTGCTGTACTTTAATTACAGTGCAGCATAAAATACTTCAACTTATTTGTTGGTGATCAGAAATCACCATATAGATGTGCCAGCAGTTCACATCCCATTATAAGCTGGTCCTCCTCCACCTTCAGGCACTACCCAGTTAATGTTCTGACTTGGGTCTTTAATATCACATGTTTTGCAGTGGACACAGTTCTGAGCATTTATCTGCAGTCTTGATCCTTCTCCTGTTTCCAGAGGAATATATTCATAAACTCCTGCAAAGAGCAAAAGAGAGCTATCACTTCACTGAACAGTTTCCCCCTGCATCTATGCTCTACTAGTTACCAGCACCTGTAATGAGGGAAGTGTATTACTAGCGTAATTCAGCTACCTTCTTCCATGTTTACTAATTATTTTGTCATGAAAGTACTGTTAATATATTTTAAGACCTGCACTTGAACCTTCTTCTAGGATGAGGATTGGGATAGAATGCTTGAAGTAAGTAGTATGCCAGGTGGACTCTTCATGAAGTATTTAGTCTTTCATCCTGCAAAAACAGCTCAGACACACATTTTTATTACTTACCTGCTGGACAAAATCTTTGTTCCGGTCCATCAAATACAGCCAAATTCCTGCTCACAGGGATGCTGTCATCTTTGAGAGTTAAATGCGCAGGCTGGTCATGTTCATGGTTTGTACCACTTAAAGCCACAGATGAGAGGAGATCAAAACTGATTTTTCCATCAGGCTTTGGGTATTCAATAGGTGTACAATCTTTGGCTGGTTTGAGCTGAGCAAAATCTGGTCCTAAATAGATTTTTAATAGATAAGTTTCGGTAGAATTACTGTATTTTGCGGTTACTCAAGAACAATTTAATAAAGGTAATTTAACATCCTTTGTCATCAGAATTAAATACTTGATAAAAGGTGGCCTTTTTCATGACACAGAAAACTATGCTAAGTAGAACAGAGTTTTAAAGTCTTCATTTACATTATATGCTAGATAACAGGACAAAGTGCTTCACTGCCTTATTGACTTCTTTTCTACACTTCATAGACTCAACACTTGACCAGATGTGCTCTAGTTTCAACTAACACCAGAAAAGACTGACATACACATTTAGTATCTTCTTTCAGGAGATACTGAAATTACCTGGATGTTTTAAAGTCCATGGTTCCTTTCCTCTCAGTATCCAATAAAATATACCTGTGTAAATCATTCCTCCATACAGACCAAGTATACTGTGGCAGGATGGCCGGATGTTTCTAACTCCATGCAGCTCTTTCCAGACCCAGGACTTTTTCAGGTTCTCTTCATATTCTTGCACATCAAGTCCTAAGGCAGTACATTACTCGTTAGGTACCTACAGTACATAAAGACTATCCTTGAAATAAAAAATAATTGCTGAGTAAAGGCAATTGCTAGCAACGAAGGCAGCAAAATGAGAACTTCAGAATAGTAGGCTAGGAATATACTGCACAACATATTTCAGCCTCTTGTTGGCAGCTATCACCAGGTATCTACTGCTCCTTTGTAGTCTCTATTAAATGATCCACAAGCAGCATTAAATTGCCTCAAACCTCAGCAAAACATGAAGATAACTGGCCAGGTGGCTGCATGGGGATCTCTGTGGGAAAACAGCTACTGGCTCATAAAATATTAAAAATTGACTTAAATCACAGTTTAGCTGTGATCCAAGAGACAGGTTTGTAATTTTAACATTGCCAAGTACAAAAGCTTTTTCCTTTACAAGTTAAGCAACCACAAACATACTGATTTCAGTAATTATGACTATGGCCCAATGGGTGATGCCAGTGCTAGAGAACAATTTTTCTCCCTATGTAATCAGCAAGTTACTAAGATACATTAGACTACAAACTTCTGATTTCAACTCTGATTGTATTCTTTACAAGCACTAGACATTGCACACTTGACATGACTCACCTACTACAGTGTAGTTAAAACTAAGTAATTATCTTAGGGGAAAAAAAAAATGTTTCTTAAAATGAAAATTTTTCAAGAGCTTCCCCTTCACTGTTCTCCATTACTACTGTCTAGGAATAGAACTACTGGAACATCTATTCCTCTAGATGTTCCAAATAATATGTTTTAAGCCTTGCCTATAGATGAAAACATGCTTCAGTCCATATTTTGTGTCTCATGTAAGGCTCTGAAAAAAAGCTCCTTACCTATGCACAGAGAAGAAAGTGGGCTGTAATGTTCCACTGTCTTGACAAAACTGGAAACAGCTTCCAAAACGTGTCCATAATCAAACAAGGGTGGCACACTACCCAATAAGAGTGTTTGTCATTTCAGATGGGTTGTAAACATTTTAACCTGTTATACTAGCTGAAGTTTTAGTTGTTCAGCAAACCCACTGTGGCAGTGTGTGTCGCATGTTTCTGCTGAACGAAAGCTCACTAGGACTGAATCCACCACTACACAGAAGAGATTTCTAAAATAATAATCATGTAGTACATGGCTATAGTGTCATCTCCAGAATGACTGAAATTCTAATTAGGTGATCTCTCTGTGCACCTTTGTTAACAGATTTAAGGAACAACCAAGGCTTAAATGAATGGCTACAATGCAGTCAGGATCAGGCAGTTACATCAATGTGCTTGCACTACATGTAACAGGAAATACACGTAGTCTCAAACTGAGAAGACTATAAAATTAAAGTCACAAAAAGAGGACTGAAAGAAAAAAAAAACAACAAAAACCCCTATCCTAGCAATTACCAAAACAGTGAAGAGCAAACTTGAAAAATCTCACCCTGGTTTGCTTAACCTGTCCTTTTTATTTTTCTTCTCAGATTCTGTAGTCTTTCAGTAACACATTTTCAATCATAAAGTGCTAATTTTTAACATATTTGTAGGAACAAAATATATACTATTCTTGTTTACTTATGCAGGAAGTGTAAGCTTACTTTTCAGATGCTCATTAGAGGCATATTTTCATTCTAGCAGTATGATCAGTACTTAGAATAATTATGAAAAACTGCTCTTACCTATTGTCTTTGATTGGAGATTTTCATTGATTAATTGGCTGAAGATGGCTTCTGAAGCCAAGATGCCGCTTTTCATTGCGGTATGTGTCCCTTTGATCTTCGGAACATTCATAAGTCCAGGACTGCAACCAATTAGTAATCCACCTGGGAAAGTGAGTTTGGGTATTGACTGAAGAGGAAACACAAAGACAGGTGGTAGGTTTGTTTGGTTTTGGCTTCTTTTTTTTTTAAGTGAAAAATAACATTCTAGAAATGAAACTGGCATGAGGCTTGAGCGTCCTTTGCATTTTTAGACTTGCATATGCACTACCTAAAAATACACCAGAGTTACTCCATTTTAACAATAAATTTTGGCAATGTAAGCAAATGAGAATACAGACATTATACTGGAGCTGAGTATAAAATAATGACAACATTTTCTTTATATCCTCTCTCCAGTTGCTCTGTCTGCAACAAGACTATAATAATGTCACCTACTGATACTGTTTTCCTCCTTCAAGTTCAAGAGAATGCTTTTAAATGAAAGACATTTGTCTTCTTATTTTCCACACAGAAAGTTGTATGAATTCCATCTAACAGTTTATTAGCCAGTGCTTTTTTCCACAAATCTTTTCTATGAAACTGCACAGTGCCCTTCCCATCCCCCCACCCAGTCCCACTTCTTTTAGAGGTTGGTCAGCTGACAACAAATATATTTTTGGTGCAAACTAATTGTCTTACTCCTGTTCTGCAAGAAGCACAACGTCATTGAGGACAGTCAACTCACAAACCTAAGACAGCCAGATATTTCCAAACATCAGATCTATATATGCCTAAATTAACTAAGGAGTATCTCTACTACCAAAGATAGTTATTCTCACCCTCATCCAATGAGATTTTAGATGGAACAGCTTCAAAACATGGGACTGACTGCAGCACTTTGAGCGGAAAGCTGTGATCAAATCCTAGGTCTGAAATTGCTGAATCTAAGTTATGAACATACCATTCTTCTGAAAGTCTTTTAGTACTGAGCAGCACTTGTGAATCTAGCATCCTACTTTTATTAAAGCTGCCTAAAGAATTAATTTTTAATAGCCTCAAACAAGTTTTTAATAACCTCAAACAAGTAGTTTTAGTTCATGAAAAATGTAATTTAAAAAAAAAAAAAAAAAGAGAATCCCTTGGAATTCAAGATGATCTGAAACAAAAATTTTGTTTTTTCTGCTTGTTCAATTGTTACCTGTTTCCTGTTCACCCAGGGCTGGCCACTGTTCAGTATTCATATAGTAGTCACTAAAAAAAGCTGTACTACACAGCGTTTGCCCTGTGTTTTGGGCAATTTGTTCAATCATAGACTTAGTGAT